TGACTTGGGTGGAGGGCTGAGTCATGGAAGACCTACCACAGTTAGAGAGAGTGTAGGCACACACACTCAGCCAAGGGGGCACCTGTGAGAGGTGAGTGCCACCCTGTTACATCGACAATATGATGGGAACTCTGTAATCCCCGTGATTAAAATCCACCCTGCAATCTCACACACTTGTGTGCATTGATCAATTAAAATATTCCAATTTTAGAAAGTTTTTGAAGACTGATGACTGTGTGGGTGTTTGGGGTCTATTATGGGACCTGGCTGCCATGCAGTGCCCTCTGCTGGTCGAGTGTGACAGTGGCAGTGCTCCTTGCCTCAATTTCTCCTAACTTAGGTTTTGTCCCTCTCAGAGATTCACATGGGTCAACTCTCCAGCTGGCACACTCTGAGTTCAATCCCCTTTTGGGGTAATAAGTCCAAACAAATGAGGACCCAAATGAACAGAAGGTTCTTCTGGTCTTTGGGACTTCTCTGCAGTCAGCCCTCAGGGTCCTGTTCCCAGTCCCTGCTGGGTTACCTTGCAGTCTCTCTCTCTCTCTCTGGCTCTGGGATAGAGATCTGACTCCCAAGGTCCTTCCCCAGAGTCCCCTCACAATCTCCTATAGACCCTTGCTCAGGGCCTTCCACAGAAGCCTGCCTGCTCTATGGTTCCAACTTAGGTGTCTATTAAGCTATCACCTGACCCTCCTTAGTCCTGACCCTCTCAGGCTGGGAAGCAGCTAATTAATTATGGCACAGCTATGGCTGACCCCATTCCCCTTAAATAGGCCAGTCACCCTGTAATGGGATCAATTGACTTTTTGTATCAGGGAGCAGGAAAGAACTTCTGTCAGTCTCAGTTTGCGCTAGACTGTTCTTGTTGCCACAATGCATCATCTTGTTGTTTTTTGTTTATTGCAACAGATAACAAAAGGCAATGTTATTTGTACAGCCCTTAACACAATGAGAACCTGGTTCATGACTGGAGCTCCTAGGAGCTATGCAATACAAATAATATCTTACACTTCGTTGGGAAAGGACCCAGGCTACATTACAAACTGTGGCTTTGATTCAGCCAAGGGGAGGCAGTGACTTAATGGAGGATCTCCTCAATAGAAAGCCTTCACCAGAACCAGGAAATGCAGAAGCCCATGGAAAGGTAAGAAACGATCTCCAGACATTGAAGAAGGTTTGGTTTGAGGAGCCCAGGAAGGTTCAGACAAATTCTTACTTAATCCAAATCAGTTTGCCTGACTGACACATGAAAGGGTTGAGGAAAAAAGATTTGCCACTTCTCACCTTAGGACAGAAGGAGGGGTCTAAAGCAGTGGTTCTCAACCTTTCCAGACTACTGTACCCCTTTCAGGAGCCTGATTTATCTTGTGTACCCAAGTTTCGCCTCACTTAAACTACTTGCTTACAAATCAGACATAAAAATACAAAAAGTGTCACAGCACACTATCACTGAAAAATTGCTTCCCTTCTCATTTTTACCATATAATTATAAAATCGGTTTGAAATATAAATATTGTACTTACATTTCAGCGTATAGTATATAGAGTAGTATAAAACAAGTCATTGTCTGTATGAAATGTTTTTTTGTACTGACTTCGCTAGTGCTTTTTATGTAGCCTCTTGTAAAACTAGGCAGATATCTAAATGAGTTGATGTACTCTGGGTTGACAACCACTGGCCTAAGGGATACTGTGCTCAAATTTGTGCTACGTAGTAACAAAAGCCAGATAATGGAGGTTAATGTTGATATTCTGACGTGAATTTATATTCTGTCTCAGCAAAAAGAACGAGAAGTACTTGTGGCACCTTAGCTTAGAGACTAACAAATTTATTTGGGCATAAGCTTGCGTGGGCTAAAACCTACTTCATCAGATGCATGCATTGGAAAATACATTAGGAAGATATATATATATATATACACACACACACAGAGAGAACATAGAAAAAAGTGGGGGTTGCCATACCAACTCTAACAAGATTAATCAATTAAGGTGGGCTATTATCAGCAGGAGAAAAAAAATTTAGTTATAATCAGGATGGCCCATTTCAAACAGTTGTCAAGAAGGTGTGAGAAACAGGGGAAAACTTAGCATGGTGGAAATCATTTTTAGTTTGTGTAATGACCTATCCACTCCCAGTCTTTATTCAAGCCTAATTTAATGGTGTCCAGTTTGCAAATTAATTCCAGTTCTGCAGTTTCTCATTGGAGTCTGTTTTTGTTGTTGTTGTTGTTGAAGAATTGCGACTTTTAGGTCTGTAATTGAATGTCCAGGGAGGCTGAAGCGTTCTCCTACTGGTTTTTGAATGTTATAATTCTTGATGTCTGATTTGTGTCCATTTATTCTTTTGCATAGAGACTGTCTGGTTTGGTCAATGTACATGGCAGAGAGGCATTGCTGGCACATGATGGCATATATCACATTGCTAGACATACAAGTGAACAAGCCCCTGATGGTGTGGCTGATGTGATTAGGTCCTATGATGGTGTCCCTTGAATAGATATGTGGACAGAGTTGGCAACAGGCTTTGT